ATTATAATTACAATTAAATATACAAATTTATTAATAGTTTAAAGTTAAAATAATAAAATAAGATCGCCGTATCAATTTCAGTTGTGTTTCGTTCGTGATCGCCGCAAAATTTAACATTTATTATTCATGTCTATTGTTTGTCAAATTTTTTTAATTCTTAGCCGTCTGCCGAAAAACTCTGTTAACACATTTCTTCCTTCTTCGTCTATCTCACGGGTAACGTTTACTTACTCGCACTCTCTCGCACTCTGCGGTCAACATATCAATAATAATCCATATATTATCACAGCACAATGCTCTGAGTTCTTATTGACAATTCATTCACTGTTACTGTCATTATCTCTAGTTCTAGTCGCTGTATTGAAAATATCCAAGTAAGTGTTTCGATTTCTATAAATTTTCTATTTGCATTTCTTTTATTCTTTATCTTCTTTCTCTTCTTTAATTTTTCGTTTTTGTCTATTTTTCATTGCGCAGGAAATGTGTGAACCATTAAGAAAGAAACCAAAACAAAGTTTCTTAGAAGCTTGGCTTAACGATGAGCGATTTAAATATTGGATAAGCAAAGTAGATAATGACGAAAGTCTTTTTCATTGTCGTGTGTGCAATAAGAATTTTACATGTTATTTGTCGCATGTTATAAGACATGCACAATCTAAATATCATAAAGAGACAGAAGATCCATTGTTGTTGAAACCAAATAAATCGAAAAAAAGAAAATTTCGACAACAATGGTTAGACATCGATTTTTGTATGCCATGGCTACGCGAAGTGTCACACGATGTATATTCATTTTCATGTTTCTTTTGTAAAAAAACTATTATTGGTGGTTTATCGCAAATTTATCGTCACGCATAGAGATGGTCGATTGTGACTCGATTAATCGACAATCGATTTTTTTGTTCATAATCGATTGTTTTTTTTGCGATTGTAGCAAATTCGATTAATCGATCGTACGATTGTTTTTTGATCACAAATAATTGAACAAAAGAGTTTAGGTCATCGCACACAAAATGATATAAATGCGTATGTATAGCATAACTGTCTCGACCAATAAGCATCTAGCATAAAGGCGCCAGGCGCCATAGATCACTCATTTAGATGTTCACTCTCATTGGTCGAGACGATCTTATGCTATTCATATGCACATATGTCATTTTGTGTGCGATGGCCCTTTCATTTTCGGTTGATCTAGAGAAACAAGTTTTCGGAATCATACCATCTTTAATCATTTTCGGTTTGTCGTTTGTCTCGTCCGTTGTTTTTCTTGACCAAATAACTAAACTGGTAAGTGATTTATCCGCAATATAAATTATTTATTAAATCGTTAATGTAAATGAATGTAAGCAATGCTCATATAAACATGAATATTCCTTGCGTAGTCGATGAGTGACAAATGAAAACATGCACACTTTTCAGTCTCCATGATATGACAATTTGATGGAAATTACTTGATTTTAGACAACAAGGAGAAATTACAACTCTTGCAACGTATATTGAATTTGGTTGTATAACCAAATTTGATTGTATATCGAAAGCATGCAGGTTCCACCGTCCACTGTGCACATGTCTCTCGACGACGTCGACTAGTGAGTGTAGACTTACCAGCGTGAAATATTTTAATTGCGCAATCATTTTAATAATCTCACTGCTATCGTTGTTTCAGCGATGACATTATGGTCAACTCCACATTGGACGCTTTGACTCAATCTCCTTCAATTGTGGAAGTTCCGCCTCAAAAACCGACATCAACTACTGAAGCACAGATTAAGTGAGTGCAATTTTGCATGACTGTTATATATGAAGTCTACTGTCATTAACTTTTTTATTTATTTTTATTTTTACATTATTGTATTTTAGTATTATTAGTGTTAGTAGTACATATATATAGCAGTTGTAAATATTATGTATTAGGATATATATAATATATATTAAATAATATATGAAATATGTATTCTCATTTTTTTTTCATTTTCAGGAACACGATAAAACCAAAGGGAAGTAACATGTGGAAATATTTTGAAAAAATCGATAGAGAGAGCGCAAAATGCAAAACTTGCTCTAAGATCATCAGGAATGATAGAAACACCACAAATCTGAAAAATCATCTCAATAGTAAACATCCTCTGTTACTGTCGCCAGAAAAAAGAAAATTAGACAGTAATCCAGGCAATTTTCCATTTTCAAGTGATGAAAAAAAAGAGATTGCAAATCGAAAGGTATTCTTGAACTATTCTTTATTGGAAAAGTTTGTAAATTTTTTGGATGGAGACCTAAAAGCTGCTGATTTCAATAAATATTTTCTGCCTGCGAGATACTAAATTAATTTTGTTAATTATGGATGATACACGTTTTTTTATAAAAAACATTTAAACAAAAATTTATTATCTCTGACTAAGCGGAGAATATTTATTGAAACCAGCAACCTTCGTGAATTCATGGTGTCAAAACTTTTCTTAGTCTGACATACTACTTTTATATAATTTATTTTTTGATAGTCGGCAAATGTTTTGATAAAAAAATCAAGTTTTAACAAATAACAATAAATGTAACAAACTGGCATATCAGACTATCCAAAAAAGGTTTTTGACATCGCTTATTTACGAAGGTTATTTGTTTCAATATCTGCAAGTCTCATACTTTATACTTTATTCATATATTTAAATTCCAGAAACGATTGAAGATAGAAGAAAAAGAGAATATCATAACTCATTTTAGGAGAATAGACTCAATGAAAGGTAAGTTATTTTTCCCGAGAAATGATGAGAATGATCATTCATTCCGATCTAATTTTTGTATTTTTTTCTCATCACAGAGGGTGAAACAGGTGCCACACGATTAACAGAAAAGATCATGTACATGATTGTAACTGATCATCAGCCCCTTTCAATGGTCGAATCCGAGGGCTTTTCAGAATTAACAAAATTCTTAGTGCCGCATTATAAGTTGCCTTCTCGCCAAACGATTACCCGCTTGATCGACGCGAAATATAGTAATATGAAGATTGCAGTAAAGAACCAACTTGCATTAGCTCCATCCCATGCCATTACGTGTGATATTTGGACTGACTGCAAAATGCAAAGTTATCTTGGCGTCACGGATCACTATTTAACACCTACCTTTAGTTTGAATCATATCACATTGGGAACCATACCACTGGCCTCCAATCATACTGGAGATCTAATTGAAGAAAAACTGCGAGAAGTCCTGTCGATGTTCGATATTGATTTGGAAAAAGTGGTGTGTGTTACGAGCGATAGTGCGGGAAATATTGAAAAAAGGTATTCTACAACTAGTTGGCAGCGAAAAACACGTGCCTTGCGTCGCACACATTCTGTCGCATATCGTGCCAGATGCACTGCAATCATTAACATATATAAATGACATTCTATCACAAGTGCGGAGTATTGTTAGAAAAGTAAAAAACAATGTCAACGCGGGCGACGAATTGAAAAAACTGCAAATGCAGAATGGATTAAGCGAAGGGCAGTGTTTACGATTTCTCTTAGATATGAAAGTTCGATGGAATTCCACATATTTCATGGCCGCCAGGTACATCGAGTTGAAAAATTACGTATACACAGTTTTGCTGAAATGCCCCGATGCTCCTGATCCATTATCTCGGGATCAAATTCAAGTTCTGGAAGATTTAGTATTAATTTTCAAACCAATTCAGAATGTGATCACAGAAATTAGTGGAGATTCATACTCGACAGGTAGCATTGCCATCCCGATAATTCGTGGCCTGAAGCTCTGCATAAGCAAATTAAAACCGAATACTAAAATGGGCAAGGATTTGATGCTTCGCATCAGCGAAGCTTTGGAAAAACGATTTAAAGAGTTGGAGTCAAATCAAGTACTCGCAGTTGCTACTATACTTGATCCTCGATTCAAAAAGCTGGCTTTTGAATCACGTCTGAAATGTGCTAATGCAATAAATAAAATTAATCGTCTCATGAACGTTGCATCGATAAAAGAAAATGTGGGGCAAACTGCAAAAAACTCCGGGCCGATAGAAAATAATGAGGATAATGACATATGGAGTTTTCACGATCACCAAAATGAAGTACAAACGTCTGGTTACGAGCCTGGGTCAAATGGTGATGAAATTCATATCGAGCTGCAACAGTACATTAATCAGCCTCGTATCCCTCGAAAAAATGATCCTCTCGGATATTGGAAAATGGTGCAAACTGCATTTCCAACTCTCTCAAAAATCGCCATATTTTATGCAAACGCAGTCACATCATCGGTACCATCCGAACGTCTCTTTTCAGAGGCTGGGATTGTTGTTACTGACAGACGTAACAGATTGACTGGTGAGAGAGTCAACTATTTTACTTTTTCTTTCATCTTTGCCTAAGGAGATGTGGGATTGTGGGCCTTGAATTATTCTTTGTAAAAGAATAAAACTTTAATATTATGGGTTTGCTCACGTCGCATGTCCCAACATGCTCCTATTCGTTCCAATATAATACAATCTATAATATTACGTTATGTATACTATAGTTTGGAGCGTATTGGAGTATGCGACGCGAACAAACCCTATATAATTTTACTTATATACTGTCATATTATGATCTTATTAATATCTTTAATGTTTGAATATTTTGTGTTCTTTGTTGTATATTATATGCACTGTGATACTGTAACGTTACGAGGTTTATTCTTTTTAGCTAAACTGGCTGCACTAGTTTAGAGTTTATCTTTCTCTTTCTAATGGGGAGGAAAAAAATAAACTCTGAACTAGTGCAGTCAGTTCAGTTAAAAAGAACAGACCTACGATCTCATTAGTATCTTTAATGTTTTTATGTTTATAAATATATTTCGTATTTTTTTCTTTTAATTTACACACTCTTTGTTTCTCCATTTGTATTTTTATTTGTACGCATTGTAATCATATCCACAATTTCCCACCACGTTAATTCCCATCCTCGCTGAGTCAATATGAGCATACATGCATGTCTATGCTATAATGGTTCAGGTGATATACGTATAATTATATTTTTATTCAATTTGTGACTTGCATTAATTAATAATTATTTTCGTTTATTTTTTAGATACACGAAGAGAACATAATGCAATGCATTAATTTTTATTTTTAATATTTCTGTATTTTGTAATAAATAAAATGTTTAAAATAATTTCTTTTTTGTCTTCATTTGATTTGAAGAAGAAATCTAAAATTAATCGATTATTTTTCGATTATTTTT